TAAAGGTACAATTTCCCATGTTGAGGCTATCATGGATGAAATACTCTGGTCCTCATGCTTTGGGATTTTTTTTCCTGCACCAGGGGATGAGTCAAGTTGAACATTTCATGAAAATTATTTCCAAATCCCATATTAGTCCGGGGTGGGGTGGGGGATCGGTAACTGATTGGCTGATTTCCTGATGGTCGGTGACGGACTGTATATCAGATACATGAACAACGGCCATGTACATTATTACATGAATAGGACGTCCTGCTAGCCTGTTCGCTTCGAAAATTGGAATTGAGATTTCTCTGCAAGATTCGTAAAATGGTGGTTGAAACTTTCTAGAAATGAAATTTAACCTGAACCTCACTGATCGCGGCATATTACACAGCATAACTTGGTGATTTTGTTGAGAAAACGGGTAAAATACTCACCGTCGCTAACACTGCTTTTGGAGGCAGCCATGTTGTTCACGCCCTCAACATCAAAATATGTTCAAAGCTTGAGTTCTCGATGTCAAAACTAGCGGATTTCATTCCTGTAGCTAAGCTTTTCCTGACCAAGCTATACTGCACGGTGTCAAAGCTGTGATTTTCATTAAAAAGCTACACTTTCATTGGTACCCCTGCTCATGCTGTTGAGGTGAGCTCTTTTCATGGAGCAACACTTCTGGTTCACCAATGTAGTTATGTCCCTATCTGCCATTTTTAGATGACTACAGGCATACCCTACAAATAAAGAGAGAAAACCTAATGGTAAAATTTGAATATGCAAGAATCAATTGTTTTGTAACATGTATCATTGCATGTGAAAAGGTTTCAAAAATCATTATAATGTCATTTTTTTTAGAGCCAATCTATCTAGATACTTACTAATCAATGCATCTATGGTTATATTTTCCGCCAGTTTAGTTCTGTTCATACCACTCAACTGCTCTGGTAGAAGAAACCCATCTATCATTTAAATCATAAAAAGTGATGGAGAATCGTTTTTGCATTTAGATGTGACTGTTGATAGCCATAAGCTCTGTACACATAAATTGGTACTCCCCAGCCTCTCAAACCCTAAAATATGGTGTGTGTTATGCACTGGTTGTCATTTAAGATGGCTATAGCCACTCTATTGTTTAGACACTCAAGATGTCTAACAATTAGGAATGCATATGGTGTGTATTATGTATGCCATTCAAATTCTGTGTGACTATCACACCAGATACAAGACTTTAGGCGATATAACTTCTGAAGGATGGACACACAGAAAACAACCAAAATATATTAGTAACCATCTTCATCCAAGTATAGACTAAAAATATTATATGCTTACATGTGGTGCTGCAGGAATCTGTACACCACGCACTGGTACATGGTGTTTAGGAGTGTGAGAGATGCTAGTAGATCAATATAAAGCTGAAAGAAAAAGAATATTGAATATTGAACATATTTTTTTTTATATTACAATTGCACACATATGAACAATATTTTAATACCTTTACAACAGGGAGCAATAAAGCCATCAGGGAGATTCAGATCATTAAACTTAGGAGACATGAAATCATTACTAGTACATAAAGCAGCACTTATTTACCTTTTGAAGCCTTCAATTCTTGGTATTTAATTTTTATATGATGATAGTCCATCTCTGTTTTCTGAAACTTTTCTTGCATGCTTTTCAGTTGTTTGTCTTTTAAAAGGCATTCAGCACACACATCAGAATTTCCAAGTAGAGTTAGGAAAGATGGGCTGGTATTGGTGTGTTCATTGAGAGAACTGAATTGATGGTCAGGAGCGTAATTGTAACATTGGTCAGGATAGGAAATGTAATGTTGGCCGGAAAGTGGTCTGCTGTACTCCTCAAGGGGTGGTGATTTGTCATGTTGGTTGACAGATCTGTCATTGGTTGCAATCAGTTGGTTAGTAGGGCATCTGTGATGTTGGTTGGAAAAGGATCCATCATGCTGATTGTGAGGGTAGTTGTTGTATTGGCTGGGAGGGGGACTGTCATTTGGAAGGGTAGCTGTTGTGTTGATTGGGAGGGGGGCTGTCCTGTTGGTAGGTGGGGGATCTACTGTCACATGGGTTTGGAGGGGGTCTATCATGTTGGCGGGTGGGGGGATCTACTGTCATGTTGGTTGGAAGAGTACCTGTTGTGTTGGCTTAGGAGAAACCTGCTATGTTGGTTGGAAAGGGAACTGTCTTGTTGGTCTGGATGGGCTTTGTCATACTGGTTGAGAGGGGTCCTGTCACTATGTTTGGGGGGGGGGATCTTCTGTTTTGGTCTGATGTTCGTACATCGATAAGATCACTAAGTAGCACCTTTTCCTGGTCTTGTGATGCCTGTTTTTTGGCTTGAGTTGCTCTTTTTCTTTTCTCTTTAGCTTCTTTCGACTCTGGTGATGAAAAAGGTTTTATCATTACAAACATAGTATTATTCTGTGCTACTGAACTGAGCAAATTAAGCTAAACAAAACAGCATTTTCAATAAACAACATGCACTGTATAAAATGTACCACAAGAAAATCCATAAAACTGTAGTATACAACTATAGTGTTGTTTTCTTAATATATATCAAAACTGAAAAAAAAACATCAATAATAAATTTAACATTTAATCAGCTGTCGTACCCAGTATATCTATGTTGTTACCATACCCAGGATATTCAAGATTCAAAAATCTTTTATGGCGAGTGGGCACCTAGTAGAACACCCTCCCACATCTACAAATTATCTTGTGAATGTGCTCGTTTAGGGAAATATTAAGTCTTTGAGAGAGGAATAATGACCGGAAAGTACGATATTATTATTCCAAAAATGCAATCTTACCTTTTGTTTCTTTTTCTTTAGATGTTTTAGTGCTAACTTCATTTTTGCTAGTTGACTTAATGTTCTTTCTTGGAGACTCTGAAGGTGCAAGGCAAATCAAAAGAAAATCAATTTAATATGTTTTACCATAAAAGCCATAAGCCTTGTCATGGAATTAAAGTGATATCCAACGTAGATAATATACTAACATTGTAGGAAATTGTTAATACGTATACATTTCTTTTCAGAAGTTCCATTGATTTGAA